TACCCTGGTTACCCAATTAAAACCACGGTTTTGTTTAAATGTCATTGGTACGATCCAACACCTAACATAGGAGTTAAGGTTCACAAACAATATAACTTGGTCGAGATAAACGTCAAAAGAAAATACAACAAGTTCGAGCCATTTGTTTTAGCCATGCAAGCCACTCAAGTGTGTTACATTCCCTACCCAAGTTCGAAAACAAACAACTCGGACTGGTGGGCTGTATTTAAAGTTAAACCTCGTGGTTGGACCGATGAAAATCATCCTCAGAAAGACGTTGCTTTCCAAGAAGATGAAGTTGAATCAAATGAAATCATTATACCAAGTCTAGCCGATACAGACAATCATGATGATGATCACGAAATGTCAAGCAACGTTTCAGATGATGAAAATAATATTGATGAAGAAGGTGAAATTCATGAGGACAACAATGATGGTATTCCTGACAGCGAGGGTAGTTATGAGTATAGTACATCGAGAAATGAAGAAGAAGAGGATGAAGAAGAAGATGAGGAAGAAGATAATGACTAGATGTTTTTGTGTTTAATGTTTTTTGCGATGAAGTTAATTTGTAATTTGGTTTAATATCAATACATAAATGTAAACTAGGAAGAAAGCCCGGGCTTCGCCCCGGGATGTTTTTTTGTGTTTACATCATTCTGTTAAAAGGGCATTGTAGTCATTTTTGCTTGCTATGTTGTTTGAGTAGGATGAAGTATTTGTAAAACCCATGTTATTTTTGTGATGAAGTATACTTAATGTAATTAAAAATTAGTTTGTAATGAATTCGATATTAAGGAAAATAATCTACATAGATTATATACTTTAACATGCCCGATTAATGTAATTAAAAATAACTTTGTAATGAATTCGTTGTTAATTATTCATTATATACTATGTTTTCAAGAAATTATACACAACTTGATTAGCACAACTGGCTTAACCGTGCCCTTTTCTAGCATAAGCTTAAGTTCGAGTCTGCTTGCCAGCAATATCTACTTTATAATTCATTTTTACATTTTTTAGCTATTAGTTTATGCCACATATTACCAATTCAAAAACATTTCATTCAAATCATATCTTACAAATTCCAATGATCATAATAATAATTCATCCATAGTATAACAAAATTAATTAAGCATACAACATCCCAACAAATGTCGTCACAAATTAGCTACGTGTTTTGTTCCATAGAAAAACAAGCAAACGAAATCATATTCCATAGCAGAATTCCCTAGCAAATACCTACGAATGGTACTTCCGTAGCAATTCAACTATGGAATTGGTTTCCGTCACAAAATCCGTTGCATAGTAACCACGATGATGAATTCCATAGCAGCAGTACAACGGAAAGTGATTTTGTAACAAATGTCGTTGGAAAATTGCTACGAATTTTTGTTCCATAGAACTATCGGTAGCATAATACCAACGGATATGGAGTCGGTAGCATTTTCCCTAGCAACTCTCACTCTCGCTACCAGAAATAAAATCCGTAGACAATGTGGTAGCAACATTGCTATGGAACGACATTTCATAGCACGATCCATTGCAGATTAACAACAAAAATACTTTCCATAGCGATCTTCCCTAGCAAAATCGCGTTTTTCTTGTAGTGTTTACCTCGCTTTTGAATTTGTCTTTTGAATCGTCATCAGTTTCTATATATGGTTCGTACATGACTCCTTTCTTGTTAGGAGTCTTTCTAAAGCTTTCGAATTTGTCTGTTTAGAACATGCTACTAGATTCGCTGACCTTTTATATTTCTTTTTGTGAAACGCAGATTCTAGATCTTCAAGTAGTGGCACGATCGGAAATTTTGATCCTCTGGTCATGAAACAAAACAAAAGAAAAACACATAAAAATGAACTAAAAATGAAAAAAATGAAAAAAATGAAAAACTGAAAAACTTAGTTTTCACGTCGTGATTACAGATAAAATAGAAAAACTAAGTTAAAAAGAAAATTAAATTTTGTGGTTTTTACCCCACAAAAAGGATTGAATAACTAAAAGTAATTAAACTAAAAACTAAAATAAGTCGTTCCCCGACAACGATGCCAAAAACTTGATGGGCATAGATTATACCTACCAGTTCTAAATTTATAATCTAACAAAACTTAACTAACTAATGCACATAGACAATGTAGCTAGTCAGATTATAGTATACAAAAGTAAGTAGGTGTCGATCACAGGGAACGGTATTTAGTTAATAAAATAATTAATAAAAGTTTAACTAAGGAAAACAACTAAAGTAGGGGGTTTTTACTGATTTTGCAAAGACAACAACTTAAATAATTACGATTTAAATTAAACAGCTAAAAACACGAAAAGAAACGATTTAAATTCAAGATTAAAGAGTACTTTTGTTTAGTTCCGAATCCCCCCTTTTCCTATGGTTGATTTCTAGTATAATAATTACGTTGGTTACCAAATTATAATGTAACTAGTTATTATGTTTAAATTCCTAGTTTTTACCAATTTATGAATTACCATGTAATGTTCAAAGACATGTAGACACAAAAGTGATATAAAGATAAATTTAGCTATGCATGATAAATCTACGAGCTACCTATCTATGTAACGCTTGGTCCAGGTAATGTTTATTTTTTTTTTCAAGTTTTAGGGTTTTGGACCGGAACTCGACGAGTTGGGGAGCTCGATCAAACTCACCGTGTAGAGATTTCTCTGGACGCGGGTAAGGACCCTACTCGACGAGTTGGGAGCCCCAACTCGACGAGTAGGCACTGGAAAGGAAAACCCTAATTTTCGGGTTTTGCACCCTATATAAAGAACTTATGGTCCATTTGTGGCCTCCCTCATCGTCTTTACAGTCCAAAAGCAAACCTTAATCGAGATAACCCTCCACATTGAGTGTGTGTAAGGCTAAAGAGTGTGTGTTTGGTACATTTCTTGAAGAACTCAAGGATTTAAGAGCTTAGAACGAGAAGGAGCTTATAGATCCAACATCTACTCAGTTGTAGCAACCATTTGAAGGTAAAAAAGCTATTACCTTGATATTTATTTGGTTAGATCTCTCCATTCAAGAGATTAGGGCCTTTTTAGCCCATTTTGGACCCGTTTTTGGAAGTTAGGAATGGTTTGAAGTTGTAAATTCAGGTCTGAACTCTTCTAGGCCTCTATAGTCATAAAGTTATCGACTTTATCAAGCTTTGGCCCTTCTTCTTGCCCAAAACCTATTATCAAGTTTGGTTTTAGCATTTTAGCCTCTTGAAGCCTTGCATGCACGTAAAGTTGGCAACTTTACGTGGAAACTACATCCTATGGGACTGGATCTGTAGTTTGCAGCTTTAGATTCGACTAAAAAGGGTTGAATAGGTTTAGACTGGGGAAAACTCGACGAGTTGCCCTGGCAACTCGACGAGTTGGAGCGAGTTACCCCGCTTTTTGGATATTGAAGGAACTCGACGAGTTGGCTAGGATTTTCCTAGGTCATCTGAACACTGAAGGAACTCGACGAGTTGCTAGATGCACTCGATGAGTTAGGGTTAACATGGACTGTTGACCTTGATTGTTGACTTTGCCTTTGACCATGGTTGACCAAGTTTGACTTTGAGGGCATTATTGGTATTTCAGGATCTTGACAAGTTAATCACATGATGGTTGTAGACATTTTAGTTGGAGCTGCAAGTTGGGACTTATCTTATCAGTTCAACATTTCTTGAGAGGTGAGTTTCCTCAGCATACCAATGGGTCCAAGGCACCAAGGCCAGCCTATTGCATGATATATGGATTGTTAGTTGATTATGTGATATGTGGGTATGACATTTGTATGGAAGTCCCCGGGGGGTTCTCGTAGTAGTAGATTAAGACCATGAGGAGGTTCCTATGGCATTTGGTATAAGTCCTTGGAGGGTTTCCACGACTTCCTAGTATGTTTACATATTTAGCTCGTATGTTATTTCTATGGTAATTGAAGACCGTGTGGAGGTTCCCACGGCAGGTAGTCAAGACCATGTGGGGGTTCCAGTGGCAGCTAGCAAAGACCATGTGGGGGGTTCCCCATGACAGATAGTTAAGACCGCGTGGGGATTACAGTGGCACTTGGTATAAGACCTTGGAAGGTTTCCATGGCATCCTTATATGTTTGTATGCATGGCTTATGTATTATGTGTAGCTTATAGAGCTATTATGGATTATGTGGATTGTGTGAGGTATGCTCTGTGGAACTCACTAATCATTAGCTTACAGTTTGTTGTTTGTTTAAAGTACTTCAGAGCCTAAGGGCAAGGGCCCGGCTTGATGACGCGACGTACACTCTCTCCGGTTCTTCCATATCCATAGATTCGTGTATCGTTCCTGTTCTAGAACCCAACCGAACTGAACCGGTCAGTTAACGGAATATGTAATTTGGTTCGTTACTCGGATTATCCATATCCATAAATTCGGTTCTCGGTTTCTCGGTTCCCATTTTGTCCGGTCCCATTCTGAAACCGATCTCAACCCTAATTTTCTATGTCTATGAAATACTTTAATCTCCTCATATCCCTAGTTTCGTATGTCTGTGAAATACTTTAATTTCCTCATATAGTTTTTTATTTCTTCGAAATACTTTAACTTCCTTATATATTTTGTGAGTGTGATACTATGATGTGAGGGATCTGATTTTTCAAATTATATTTGTGGAAAATAAAGTGCTTAATTTAATGTCAATCCCTAAAATGGGAGCAATGGAGAACACCGCCAACAAAAGATGAAAATAATACAACAAAACTTATTAGGTGAAAATCCTAAAATCGAGAAGAAAAATAACACATTTTTATATTTGACATGATCAACCACCCTAGCTAGTTTCTGAAAATGTTATAATCAAGCGGTATTTTACAATCTTCATTTGTAAACAGATCGATTACGGAAGATTTTGCTAACATAGAAACTAACCATATATAAGAAACAACACATAGGATTTACCAGGACATGTATAGCAGAATAAATAGATACTAGTAGCCGTTTCCAAAAAAAAAAAAAAAAAAAAAATCTAGATATCAGTAACTGGTAACAGAGAAAGAGCATGGACATGGAGGTTCTGCCACCTCAATTCCTCCTTCAAGCATTTGGATGACCTTCCTCATGGTTGGCCTCAAGGATGAGTTCTCTTGTACACACCACAGGCCAACCATCACAAAAGTTGCAAGTTTCTTGTAGTCATCCAATGCCTCCAGATCGTTGTCAACAAATGTATCCAGTCGACCTTCTTCATAGCAATCCCATGCAAGATCAGTTAAAACCGCCACCCCTTTCTCATCACTCTCATAAACCAAGCTTTTTCGGCATGAAATGATCTCTAGCAGCAACACACCAAAGCTATACACATCAACCTTCACTGTGACAGGCGTGTGCCTAAACCATTCAGGAGCAACATATCCTTTCGTTCCTCTAATTCCAGTGTTTGTTTGACTTTGATTCATCATCAAAAGCTTTGCCAATCCAAAGTCAGAAATTTTGGCATTGTAGTAGTCATCAAGAAGTATATTCTGAGGCTTTATGTCACAGTGAATGATTTGGATGCTACACTCTTCATGAAGGTATGCGAGTCCCTTAGCAATCCCAACAGCAATATAACTCCTCTGTCTCCATGTAGGTCTTGCATCCCCGAAAATAAACATCGCCAAAGTGCCATTGCTCATGTACTCATAAACCAATAACCGCTGATCACCTTCATCACAATACCCAAGAAGCTGCACCAAATTTTTATGATGAGTTTTTGCAATGCTGTCAACCTCGGCTTTGAATTCCTTTTCACCATCTCGAACCACTGTATTCAACTTCTTCACGGCCACTGTCCTTTTTCCTATCACACCTTTATAGACTGTCCCAAAAGCCCCTTTCCCCAATTCGTCTTTGAATCCATCTGTAGCTTCAACTAGCTCGTGATATGTAAACCGAGGCAGATTGGTTTCAGCATCTTGACTAATTGAATATGTGTTTCTCGGCTTCTTCTTGTAGATTACAAAGAAACCCATACCAATCAACACAAAGATTACAAACACAGAAGTGGCTAAGAGAACCGATCCGACAACTATCAGACTTCTTCGATCTTTTTTTTCTCCAGGGAGCCGAAAAGGGTTTTGACGAGGAGGGCTTTGAAGCGGAATATCACCAATCCGGTATTTCACGAACGGCTTCACACCTGGAGTCATTCTCCCATTAGAGAGTGGAAACCTCTTCTTCCAACATTGGTTGTTGCTGTATGTTGCGACAGCACAGAAACAATCTTCCAAGCAGGAACTTTTGCAGGTGTCTTCATTACTTGGGTCCATGTGCTCATAGTCTGATTCTGGCCAATCAATATTATCGAGCTCGATGAAATCAATATTATTGGACTCAACTTGATCACATTTTGGAGTGAAATCAGGCTTGCAATCACCACTGGGATTATTTGGATCAAGCAATGAGAACCCCTGTGGGCATTCACATTTTCTGCGGTTACCATCAAGGCTGCAAACATTGTTATACCCACAAGCACCGCTATCCATCCTCATACTGATATTACATATGTTTTCTGGCATAGACAATATTACTTCCCAGCTTGTATTGCCAGTTGCATTCTTGGGGTGGTAGTATTGACGAAAAACCCCATCATAATCTAGAGTAGCTCTATGATAATAATCTCCAGAAGGAACTGTGTCTCTTTGAGAAAGACCAAATCTTTCTCCACTTCTTTTCAGTATATAAATGTATCCCATTGCATCATAAATCACTTTTTCACCGATATTTGTGGAATTGGTCGCATCAGCTGTGCCACTGGAATCATAAGCACCATAAGCATTACCTGAAAGTATATCTCGACTGCTAAGAACAAGATTTCCATCTTGTTGGAAACGTAACTGGAAGCGTCCACCAGAGAAGTTTGTTGCACTAATTGTTGAATTCATCCCTCCACCTATCTCCATAACCTGAGTAGGCAACAAGGTGTTTGATGGAAAATCAAAACTACCCCATAACTTGCGAGAATTGCTACCAAAAACCACGAAGTTACCTGTATCATTCATAAAAACCTGATGAACAGCGGAAATAGACCCAGATCTCCATACCTCTGTGCCTGAGGATCACTGAGTACGAGCCCACTCCCACCAGTTAACTCAACTTTGGATCCTGTAGGCACCATAAGACCTTCTTTGGGATACCAGATGATCGTCTTGTCAGGTATCTTGTCATACCATATGGATAACAAAAAATTATCGATCCCTTGAACTTGTTGGAACCCAAAGGCAAATTCACCGGAAGATGAAAGCCATGGTGTGACATTGGGCGCAGCAGTGAGTAATGCACCAAGAGATACAGAACCGTCATTATGTTGCGCAGTTATCAAACGTAGGAAAATAGTTAGAAAGACTAGATGCAATTGGGCTGGAGCCATATGAAATTGGTGGAATGGATAACAGTGACGAAATGAGGATTTAATGAATAGTAAGATCGTTGCTTTAAGGTTAACAGAAAGATTTTTTGAGTCTACAAATAATGCAACAAGTCTCTAGCTTGTGGGCAGAAAATAAAGATTGGTCTTTATGGTTCCTTTCCTTGTAATGACAATTGTAGACCATTTCCTTTTATTTTTCTTTGGTGTCGTGTCAATCAACGGAAACCCACATACACGGCAGGAGAAATAGAATCATCCAACTGGATAATTCCAATCGAAGAAGAATTGATTCCCTGCCACTTTTATTATATATATATATATATATATATATATATATATATATATTATATATATATATATATATATTGGTATTTCATGCATGGGTGACTTTTTTTTTGTTTTTTTAATAACTTTGTACAAATTTATGAGATCAGTAGTCACATTTCACTCGATATAACTGTATTTGTAGTTGGTTTTTAATTAAATGCTTTTAATATTATTTTAGAATTTTTTTTGTTTTAAATTAGCAAAGTTTATTTTTAAAGAAAAAAAATGTTATTTTATGTTTTATTTTATATTTTCTAATTTAATTAAATAAAAATAGTGATGTGACAAGTGGATTGAGTGGGTTGGAAAATATAAAATTTTTATGTGTTGTGGATTGAGAAAGATCGAAGAAAGAGAAAAGAACCAAATGGCTTCTAACCCAGCGGTATCCAATGTTGTCTTCCCTCCTTGAGGTCGAGGGTTCAAATACTGTTGTGGACATAAGTGGAATAATTAAGAAGTAGTTTAGTATATTTGTCGTTTCAAAAAAAAAAAAAAAAGAGAGAGAGAAAGAGAAAAACTGAGTTAATTAAGTAGATTGGGAAGGAAAAACTCTCTATTCCTCAACAAAGGGAATATTGGCATATGCACATGACATTATTCCTTAATTTTGTACTAATTTTATAATTGTATTCAGGTATGGAAAATTTATAGAAATGGTCCACGTCTAATAAAAATTATAAAATGATCCTTAAGTATGACACAATTACGGAATGGTCCATATCTTAAAATTTATGTAATGGTCCTTCAGTTTGACAAGTTTAGAAATTGATTTATCTGTAAGATAAAAATACATAAATGATCAATGTCTAATAGAAAACTATATGAATAGTCCTTATATGAAATAGAATTATGATAATGATCTATGGGTAAAATAAAGTTATAGAATTGGTTTTGTTTAATAGAAAAATTATAGAAATAGTCTATTTATAATAGCGATATTAAATAAATGGTCCTTGTCTATGAAAACATTATAGTAATCCTACCGGTTTTAATAGCAAAAATTATAGAACTAGTCATTGTATAAGAGAAAGTTACAGAAATTGTGTCAAAAATATAAAACTAATAACGTGACAAAAATGTAGGACTCCCCACTAGCCACTAGTTATTCAAATATAAGAGGTTCTACATGATAATCATCCGCCAAATTTGTTAGTGTTTTTTAAGTTTGTATAAAACAATAGTTATGTGTTTTCTTTTACATTATTTAGTTTACTTGTCCATACAATCTTGAAAATATCATAACTCCACTACTTCGCATGTATGAAATTTTGAAAATAAAAAATATCATGAACTTGGAAATTATGATCAAATAGAACATTTCCCTAAATAAAACTCATATTTGTGAAAACTTGATTAGTTGTCATATTGGTGAAGGTTTTTTGAAATATGTGTTTCAACTTTGTTGTATTTTTCTTGAACAAACATTTATTTTGGGAATTTTTTAATTAGTGACATGAGCACTTCCCCTGGGCACCTTTTATATTTGTTTCGCTAAGGACCAAGTCTTCCATTATCATACAAAGTACATAGATGTATGTTGGAATAATGGCATTCCATTCGGCTTAATATGAAGGAGAAAATGAACAATATTGTGATGCATGATAACCTGCTAGACATGATGACAAATTAAGTCGTTCCTAGAAAACAAATTTATGTATTGCTTGGATTACAGCCACCTCAAGAGTTGGATATACGAGAAGATTTGTATGTAGTTCAAGATAGAGATTACTTGTGTACGTGACTAGATATAAGTCTATGAACTTTAAATGTATATATCAAAACATCCCTCGTTGAGCCAATATCGAAATAGAAATATTCACCATATTTAAAATAAAGTATCACCACTTAACCACTCTAAATCCCATAATTGATCAAAAACATTTACTCACCTATGTCAAAAAAAATTTAAGGAATTATCATTCAGTATTATAGAACGGTCTATACAGTAATATTCTAACTATTTCCATGTGAAAAGTCTTATTCCCCAAGCTTCTCAAATTTCCTTGTCACCTTAGAATGATTTCTTCAATATTTACCTTGAATACATCTCAAAGTAGTATGCTCGGTTTGAAAGTTAAAATAAATTACATATAGGTTAGAGTTAACATAGGTATTATATTAAATTGGTTCAATATGCCATATCACTATATTCAAATCACCATATATAAGATACTATAATTCTAAAAGTACCCCAAATAAGAATTTAGATATAATATTTTAAGAGAAATTAAATATCCGCCTATGTTTTTATTTCCAATCCATCCATCTACATATACCTATGTAAAATGATGACATGTGTCATATTTAATGAAATAATAATATTTTTAATATATTTGTCATCATTTAACATTGATATGAGGAGATGAGTTGTAACAAAATATAGGAAAATTTTAATTTCTCAATATTAAAGACAACATACATGATAAATGAAATTTGATACTATTCACCCTAAAATATCAAATCTTAATCCACTTTGATATCATTATTACCAATTTCCTTTCAAGTATTATCACCACAAATCATATAAAAAAATGAAAAATTATTTAACCTCTAGTAACATGTATATTTTTTAGTGCTTGCATGGACAAATAATGTCACCATACGTAAAAAGATATCTTGAACACTTATATTAATCACCTCAACTGATTATCTCCTCATACTTCAATAGAATTTAACTTCTCTTAAGTGTCTAGATCACATAGTACATTTATCCCTATCCCACATCAATGAAATGTAACATGTACATGATCTGTGGGACATCTGAAATTAAATCATCTCTTGAGTACTAGTACCGATGTATAAAAATGAGTTCAAACTTAATGTTTAAAATCTCGTTTTAAGTTTATAAATCGATTTCACCATTACTGGAAACTACTACACAATTGGAAACAAAATACTCCAAGCTATTTGACTCAACTCAACTACACCTTAAAATTATGGTTGACTACTAAAAGTGCAATTGATATTAGTTATGAAACATCCCAAAAAATCATGAAAAAATTTTCATTTTTAAAACCATTTAATAACTCATAAGTCTTACAAAAAATTGTTTCCAAAAATCATAAACATAAATCAGAGTATCCCCAAATCATCTATCAATAAAATATCCAAGGATGATGTGTACGATCACGCCTTTGTCTTGCCCCGATCATTTGATGTACCTGAAACCATGAAACCCAACTGTAAGCCAAAGCTTAGTGAGTTCCCCAAAATACCATATGTATTAAGACAAATAAAGCATGTAATGGGTCTAATCAGTCATCGAACTGGAATGCCAAAATGCAACGTGTCCAATTAGTTATCGGACTTGAATACCCTGACCAATCTATAATATCCCGTTTCTTATCATTTCTTATTTCAAGGGCGTGGGCCAAAAGTTGATTGTGTAAAAGCTTTGGGCCTTAAGGAGGTAAATATTAGACCTTGTGGAAGGAGGTAACTATCGTTGAGAGATCTAACCCTTGAATTGTGTTTTAGGTCGAAGGGTAAAAAGGGAAAAGTCATAGGCCGAGTTCTTGCATGAAATATGGATTTTTTGTTCGAGATGTTTTTAGTCCAAGATATTTAGATAATATTGTAGAGCTCTTTAACAGCTTTCCATGGATATAAAGAATGTTGAAAATGGAGTTGGAACGATGAAGATACGACCGTTTGAAGTTATGACGATTTTGGGTTAGCCGCGTACGCTGGGCGTACGGACAATATGTTGGGCATACTAGGGCATCGCTAGTACGTTGGGCATACTGGAGTACGTTGGCGTACCAGGAATATGTTCGGCATACGCGACCAGAGCCTAAACCTTATTTTCGTGGTTTTAAGCCATATTTAAGCTCCTAAACTTCGCCAAACCCACTCCATTCTCAGCCTCCAACCTCCAACCCCCTCTCTTGAAACCCTAACGCTAGTTTGAGCCTTGTAAGAAAAAAGAAGGTGTTTTTAAGTGATTCAGAGTGTTCTTGGTGCACCTTGGAGAAGAAGGAACTCATTGAAGAAACGTTGGTTCCATTGGAGCTGGTAGATCCATACCTTGTTCACCATGATCTTTCTTTTGGAGGTATAATCTTGATGATGAAATTGTTAGATCTAGCTAGTTTGGGTGTTATGAGCTTTTTCTCACTTTAAGTGCATAAAGTTTAGATCTTGGAAGTTTGTGACCTTGTTATGGATAAAGTTGAAAAGTTTATACATCTAAACATCATATTGATTCAGAACTGAGGTTGGAGACTTGGACTTAATGGATTAAGTTGAAAAAGATGCAATTTTTGGTCCCTTTATGACTTAAAGACCGGATCTTGTTTGTTGGGACCATTCTAATGGATAAAGTTGGAAACTTTATCCATTATGGAGCTATTAGGAACCATAAAAATATGATCTTGGTCCTTCTATCCCTTCCATGCAAGAGTTATGATGTATTAATGGATTAATAAGTTAGGATTTTAGCTTTTGGACCTTCCTTAGCCATGGAAAGTCATAAGGTGGAAACTTTATGACTTAACACAATTTTTGAGGCTAGATCTGAGTTTGGGTGAAAAGTCCTTAGGGATAACTGCTTAATGGAAAGGACGGAACCAACTCGAGTACGATGGGCGTAACTTTCCTATGTTGGGCGTACTAAGCCATCCCATGTATACGGGGCGTAAGTTGAGTACATAGGGTGTACTCAACCAGCCTTGGAAATTGACTTTTTTTTACTCCGTTGACCGTTGCCTTTTTGACCAAGTTTGACTTTAGGTCAAACTTGAGGTATTTTATTGGTGATTAAGATTATATATGGCTCTGATGTTAGTGGATCCACAGGAGAAAGTAGTATAGCAGGGAGCGTATCATAGTGTTCTCGGGTTTCTTCATTTTAGGTGAGTTTCGCCTCACTATACCTGTGGGTCGAAGGAATCAATGACAGACCACTAGTTTTGGTTATCTGTTAGTAGAGGGATACCTTAGGGACTGTATATAGTCATTTAGAATAGACTAAGGACTCTTGATCTAGACCCTTTTACCTGTTCCTTGTTTAGTTGTGGTGCTAGAGTAGGATCACCTATTCGGGTGTCTATTTCACCTATGAGTATATACGGTCATGCATTCCTTGGATTGTTGGAGTCTACAAATAATGCAACAAGTCTCTAGCTTGTGGGCAGAAAATAAAGATTGGTCTTTATGGTTCCTTTCCTTGTAATGACAATTGTAGACCATTTCCTTTTATTTTTCTTTGGTGTCGTGTCAATCAACGGAAACCCACATACACGGCAGGAGAAATAGAATCATCCAACTGGATAATTCCAATCGAAGAAGAATTGATTCACTGCCACTTTTCTTTGTAGGGATAATTTCATATATACTCTAAATAAAAAACTAAATATCATATTTACCCAGTCTAATCTTAAAATATATATATATATATATATATATATATATATATATATATATATATATATATATATAAGGCTTAGGGAATATGTGGTTGTCATGTACCTAATGTTAGATATAGAACCATAAAAAATTACATAGTTTTAACAAAATGCGATCAAATCTCTCTACCATCTTTATTGCATCATCTTTTAGAACTTATGCTAAGCTTTGTATATATTTTATGGAATTTTATAAGTTTAATTTTGCACCACAAACCATGTATAAGAATATTTTACCAACTAATTGTAGGTCTCCAAATTGAAATTTAATACAAAAAACTACATTGAAAAATTGAAATTGTTCATTAAAAAACCCATTAAACCTCTTTCCATAAGCCATGATAGAAAAATCATACAAGTATACATAAGATTGGTATTGAAGGATGTTATGAAATCTATTAGAGATCTAATAAAAAAACACATTCGAAATAGATAGATATTGGGGATAAATCACGAAATCAAATATAATATGAGTTAAAAGACAATATGAAGAAGCTAACAATGAAAGAAAAATGTGTTGTTTAATCAAAATGAAGTTAATTTGTATGGTTCTATACCTAATATTACATACATGACAGCTACATATTCATTTTTCCATATATATATATATAGATATATATATATATATATATATATATATATATATATATATATATATATAAACACTTAAAATATCATATTTGCCCTAAACATTTTTTAAAACTTTTTTAATTATTTTTTAATCATTATTTTGTTATTCAAATTCATTTTAATTATTAATAAAACTTAGCTTGACCGTAATGCCCATAGATTCTCTCTAATATGATCACGTTCTTTTTTTTTTCTTTGTTTTGGGGTGTGCTCACGTACCTGGAAAAAAATCAACGCTCAAACTAGGGTTCTTCCGGCAACTCAAAAACTTTCGGCAATCTATTTATTTTTTCTATGTTAGAACTACTATTCTTTATCATGTAAGTGGATTATCAATCTTATTATTTCAAATTCAAATTCTGTGATTTATCATATAACATGCAGTTTGTAGAAGGTATTATTAAATGTGTGCTTTTACCCTGATGAATAATGTATTAATAGTGTGAATCCTTTTAACTTTACTGTGGCAAAAATACATTCATGCATTTGGATACTTATAACTAAATGGCAAACCATCTGCATTCCAGATTAAAAGTTTTATAGAGAAATTTATAAATCTATTTTATTTTGGTCTATTTTAATAATTTTACAAATATATAATGGAACCAAAATTATAAGAAATATATTTGCTATAGCTTTTCGATAATAGCAAACAGTATGCCATTTTTAGAACCTTCATCTAAATGATCTAATGCATGTGATGGCCAAAGGATATGAAACCTGCTGTTTCTCATTTTCACTAAGAACCTTTAACAAAATATTCAAATCTCATGTTTTAAATCACCGTTTCGGTATTATTTTAACATTAATTAAAAATTTAGTCCCACATTTTATTAGTGGAAGTACATGAATTATTATTCTATTTCATTTAATCTATGATTAAACCTTTTGTTGTAGATGGAAGACACTTTAGATATTACTCTTGACGACACATCGAAACCGGTATGTGAGAACATGGTTCAGTCTCCACAAATCGACTATGATTCTGCTAGTATGCCACCATGCAAGTACAAACTAAAACTGAAATATGGGGGTTTTTTCGGCTAGCAAGAACACTTGTAGGAAAATATATTGCTTTGGCTCTCAAAAATGCATCTACATAGACACATGGTCATACAACTTGAGCCAACTAAATGAAGAAGTCACAAGGCGTTATTCAACAAGAGCAATCCAAAATTTTCAATCTCCTATGTTGACAAGTATGCACAAGACCAATCATTTATAAAGCTTAATTCTGATGAAAAGTTCATCGTTATGCTTAACATGTATGAAGACATGAAAGAAGTAACCATTTATGTCACAACAAACAGTAACCACAACTCAAATAATCTTTCCTCGAGTAACCACTCAAATGATGATGATGATGATGGTTACTCATTTAGCAATAGTAGTCTAAGTTGGAAAGCAGGCACAAAATTTGAAAATGTGGTTGATTTTAGGAGAGCTTTAAATCATTATGCTATCATAAATGAGTTTGACTACTTCATTCTAAAAAGTGATCAGACACGGTTCACAGCAAGGTGTGAAAACGTTGATTGCCAGTGGAGAATTTATGCATCTATCATGCAAGACGACATAACATTTGAAGTATGTATATACCTAAGTAATATTTAACATTTTTTCCATTAATCCATGCTTATGTTATTATTTTGCAGGTTAGGAAAATTATAGAAGCACATACTTCTACCCGAAGCAATAAGGGTGGTAATAAGCGTGCCACTCAAGGATGGATTGCAAATATAATTGCCAACAAGTTAAAATCCGATGGAGATGTATCTCCTGGGGAGCTCAGAAAGTGAATTATGAAAACCTACAATGTTGAAATAACATACCTAAAAGTCTTCAGAGGGAAACAACAAGCATATACTGATATCTATGGTAAGTGGGAAGACTCTTTCATGAAGATAGATGTATTTAGAGAGGAACTACTAAATAGGAATCAAGGAAGCGTTATTGAAATTGACTTTGATGTAGTTGGTGACAAGAAACATTTCAAAAGGTTTTTTTATTTCTCTAGCAGCTTGTTCGAGAGGGTTTCTTGACGGGTGTCGGCCTTATATTAGTCTTGATGCTTGTCATTTAAAAGGAAAGTTCAATGGTGTACTAGCTGCTGCAAATGGTGTTGACGGTAATAATTCCATCTTCCCAATAGCATATTGTGTCCTTGAATCAGAGAATACACAATCACGGAAATAGTTTCTTGAGTTACTTAAAAAAGCAATTGGGACGCCGAGTGGTCTTGTTATCTCATCGGACATGCAAAAAGGGTTAGAAGTGGCCATCATGCACGTTTATCCTAATGTTGAGCATAGAGAATATATACGCCACTTATGTAGCAATTTTAAGAAACAATTTTGTGGTGCATTCTTTAGCAAGAAACTATGGGGTGCTGCAAAAACCTATCTTCCTACCAAACATGCCATATTGTTGAAAGAAATTAGTGACGTAATTCAAGATGCCATCACATATCTAAATAAAAACCACACACAGATATGGAGTAGACGCAAGTTTGGTACAAGTTCCAAGTGTGATTACATCACTAATAATATTTCGGAGTCATTTAATTCTTGGATCGGTGTATTGCGCTATCAACCTGTGCTTGATCTACTTGATGCAATTAGAGAAAAGTTGATGGAACGAGTAGATAAGAAAAGAATGTTGGTGAAAAAATGGAATGGTGTGTTGGTCCCTATTGCTAAGAATCACCTCAACGACATTTCTAAGGTAAGTATGTTAAATTATAGTTCAGTTACATATCTATAACATGTCAACAATTTTTTTTACATGTAGAACTTGGGTCAATACGAAGTTTGTAGAAGTTGTGACAATCAAGATGAAGTGAAGTGCAAGGGAAAACGTTGGGATGTCTACCTAGATGAACGAAAATGTAGTTGTCGAGTGTGGCAATTTAGAGGCCTTACATGTATACATGCAGCGACTTTTATTGCTTTTACAAGGGATGTTAATTGGGAAAAGTATGTTGATTCATGTTACACAATAAAGAAATATAAAGAAGCATATGCTTTTGAAATTGCTCCAATGCCCGGAGCGGATCAATGGAAGCAACAAGACGGAGATAAAATATATTCGCCTATTATCAAGCGTCCGATTGGACGGCCCAAAAAATAGAAGTAAATCATCAAGTGAGTCTAAAAGAAAGCACAAGTGTTCACGGTGTGGTGAATATGGACACCGTGAAAAGACATGTAGAAATCTTGCACCTCAAAGTTTGAATACACATGAAACATCCACCTCAAAAAGAAGGAACAAATGGCAGCCATAGTTGTTCATTTTCAAATGTGTTTTTATTAGTTAAACTTATTTTGTTTTTGAAAACTTGATAGACTTGTTTGAGGCACACATGGATGGAAACGTCCATACGAAAAAAATGTCTTATTTTATTTTGTTGAAATCGGTATCTTATGTTTGGCTTCTTAAAATACGTGTATCTCTTTTCGAAGCAAACATGGGATTTCTCTGTGATGGAATTATTGAAACAATATTTGGATATATTGTTTAACTGAAAAATCATATTTTATTTCATTTTAGAAAGTTTCATAGAAAGTGGCAGAACTTAAAGAAAATATGGTAGTAGTTTTAGCTCATGCATCGTCACTTGTTGCTTTAAGGGTCATTGTATAAGAGAAAGTTACAGAAATTGTGTCAAAAATATAGAATTAATAAACATGACACATCATGGAGAACATATAAGAGGTTTGTCTCCATGATAGTCATCCACCAAATTTGTTGGTGTTTTTTAAGTTTGTATAAAACAATAATTATGGGTTTTCTTTTATTTAGTTTAATTGTCCATAAAGTCTCGAAAATATCATAATTGCACTAGTTTGCCATGTATGAAAATTTGAAAATAAAAAATATCAATAACTTGGAAAATTACATCAAATAGAACATTTCCCTAAATAAAACTTATATTTTGTGAAATACTTGATTAGTTGTCATATTGGTGAAGGTTTTTTGAAATGTGTTTCAACTTTGTTGTAACTTGTCTTGAACAAACATTTATTTTGGGATTTTTTTAATTAGTGTCATCAACACTCCCCCTGTACACCTTTATATTTGTTTGGCTAAGGACCACGTCTTCCACTGTTAAACAAAGTACATAGACATACGTTGGAATAATGGCATACCATTCGGCCTAATATTCACCCCAAATATAAAATCTTAATCCACCTTTGATATCATTACCAATTTCACTCTAAGTATTATCACCACAAATCACATAACAAAATGAAAATTTATTCAACCTCTACTAACATGTATATTGTTTCAGTGCTTGCATGGCCAGAATAATGTCACTATATGTAAAAGATATCTTGAAAACTTATACTTATCACCTCAACTGACTTTTTCTCCTTATACCTCAATAGAAGTTAACTACTCTCAAGTGTCTAGATCATATAGTCCATTTATCCCATAACCCTACATTAATGTAATGTAACATGTACATGATTTGTGGCCTGTACGAAATTAAATCATCTCTTTAGTACTAGTACTGATTGATGGGTTTTAGGCATAACAAAACAAACTTAAAACTCTTAAGTATGCATACAACCTAAAACAAGATCTATTTTTTCACTATTGAACCTATAACTATGAACATCAAAATAAGAACCCCATAAACCCTAGGCAATTTTCGAAAAACACATAAAAGGGTTTAGAATTACATACCTTATTGTTATTATAGCAAATAACAATGATCCTTGTCTTGTTGAAGCTTTGGAAGCAAGCACCACAAGCGTTGTGCCTATAATTGTTCACACCGAACACAAGCAAGAAGGAGATTATGAAGAGAGGAGGGAGGAGGGAAGAATTTCGGCCTAGCTCTCTAAAGGTATGAGTGGCCGAAATATGAATGGTTAGATCCTTTATATATTGGTACAAGGAAACACTATATAACACTAATTTGAATTAAATACTATTAATTCAAATTTGGTAATTATCTACTTCCCTATTATCCATATCAAATATTCTATAAACCCTAGAATATCCCTTAGAAATCGTCCATGGCTATACCAGGAAGGTTCTGGAGCCTTTTGTTCAACTATTGAACAATTACACTTTAGACCCTGTACTTTTAATTAATCTCATTAATCCCAAATTTAATTCTAATTAATTTCTGATTAATTATTAATTAAATATTACTATCTCTAATTAATATATTATTCTCATAATATATTAATAAATTCTTTATTTCAATTTATTAATCATATAATAAATGAACCTCTCTCTCCAAAAATCATAATGTCCAATTGCCAGGTTTGAGGGCAAACCAAAAGGATTGTGCTACTATCAATTCAAGTTTATACCAACTATATAGTTATGGGCTTAGACACCTAATCCAACAGTCTCCCACTTGGATAAGTTTGTAACTATAATTTCCAGTATAACTTCTAAACTGATAAGCAAATTGTAGCTTCCAAAAGCCGTTGTCAAACTCTGACCCAGTCAGTTACATGTCCTAAGATAAGTGATCATATAATCTTTCGTTCTGCAAGATATCATTTGAACAAGAGACATGGAACATAATCAATCTCATCGTCCAATACTTTGTTTCCCGATTTCTGATTTGTAATGACATAGAACTTCTAATTTAACACATCAATTTAGTCCCGGTCGGGCCCGACACTTTTAGTCAACAACAAATCATCGAGGGGACAAAGATATCGCTTTTCCCGTTAGGGAAAAAGGAAAGAATAAACTTTGAGTTATATGCTTGCACCATTTACTCATCAAATCACGCACAACGATACGTTTTATAACATCAAGTTACTGATGCGTTTACATATCATCGATGCACAACTGCATGTATACCATAACTCATATATCTCCGTTTCAAGATTATAAGATGTTATCGTCTCAGAATTACTCGTGATAAATTCCATGAAGTAATTCTCTGAGCATGGGTTAATCCAATACTTAAATCTCCATTTCAAAGTACTCATGAACATTGTAGCAATACTATTGCTATATCTAAAAACACTGTACACAATCTACAATTCAATTCATGACCATCTTAATTCACTACTTACTTCCAAAAGTATGAACGACTGTGGAGTTTGAATAATCGAATTATTCAGGAAGTAAAACATGCAAAATGAAACATAAGAATAAGCAATTGACAAAAGGTAGTAAACAAACTCATAAATAATTCTATATTATTTAATCACCAAAAGTCAATTACATTTAATTTGTTACAATGTTTTAAAATAACTATCTGACTACTAAAACTAATATCATCTCTCAGACCAATGCTCCTAGCATGCTGAATGTGTTTAACCCTACTCAGACCCTTTGTAAGTGGATCTGCAGGATTCTCTTCAGATGATACCCTCTTTACAACGAGGTAACCTTCTTCTACCCTATGTTTGATGAAATGGTATTTTCTTTCGATATGTCTTGATCTTCCATGATCTCTTGGTTAATTTATCAAGGCAACAACTCCTTCATTATCAAAGAAAATTTCCATTGGCTCCTTGATGGTTGGCACACCTCCAAGATCTCCGATGAATTTCTTCAACCAAATTTCCTCCTTTGATGCTTCACTCGCCGCTATGTACTCTGATTCACAGGTAGAATTAGCCATTGTCTCTTGCTTGGACCTTTTCCAAGTAATTGCTCCTCCATTTAAGGTAAACACCCAGACAGATTGAGAACGGAAGTTGTCTCTGTCTGTTTGAAAGTTGGTGTCACTATACCAAAATACTATCAATGTATCACTACCACCAAGTACTAGGACCCAATCCTTATTCCTTCACAGATACTTGAGAATATTCTGAACTGCTATCCAATGAGCTTTACCTAGATTTCCCTGATAACGACTGACCATGCTCAAAGCAAAGGACACATCAGGGTGAGTACATGTCATAGCATACATGATAGATCCAACGGCGGAAGCATATCGAACTCTACTCATTTTTGCTATCTCTTCATTGGTACTCGGACTCTGATTCTTACTTAGTTTGGTATTACTCTGGATGGACAGTTCTTTTTTCTTGTAATTTTCCATACTAAAATTTTTCAGCACCTTTTCCAAGTATGTACTTTGACTAAGTCCAATTAGTCTGTTACTCCCGTCTCTCAGAATTCTTATCCACAGAATATAAGCAGCCTCTCCTAGATCCTTCATAGCGAAACACTTTCCAAGCCAAGACTTAACATCTTGCAAAGTTGGAATGTCGTTTCCTATAAGAAGTATGTCATCAACATACAATACTAAGAAGGTTACTATACTCCCACTAGCTTTGACATAAACACAGGACTCATCTTCACTTCTAGAGAAGCTAAACTCCTTGAACTTCTCGTCAAAGCATAGATTCCATCTGCGAGATGCTTGTTTCAATCCATAGATTGATTTCTCAAGCTTACACACTTTATTGGGAAGATTTGCATCAACAAAACCCAATGGATGACTCATGTAAACATCCTTAGCCAACTTCTGTGACATCCCCATTTTCACGGCCAGAAAAGACCGATTTTGTTTATGCTTGTTTGAAAATCAGAGTAACATTTTAAATAAAAGTGTTGCGGAATTTGTCCCAAAACAAAATATGATAATGATTTATCAAAAGCATTTCCAAGGAAATGTATTTCATTAAAAGACTCGGGATGTCATGTTCGATACAAATCAAAAGCATAAACAGTACAATATAAGCCTTACTACATTATTTCATATCTACAGGCCTATATCCGTAATCCCTCATCCAAAACATCACATCTATGCTCGAGCGCCACTACCTGTAATACATGAAACTGAGTGGGTCAGGCTTGTGAGCCTGGTGAGCACATAGGGTTTTCAACCCACAATAAATAAGTTGATTAATTTCATCAATCAACAATAACCCGATTACCCGTTCCCGTTATCCTCACTTTACGTCCCTAAACACCTATCATAAGGGACCTAGCCTAAGGATCATCATCGGGATGGACACTACTGCTAAGGGGGTTCCTCAGCAATAAACGTCCTAAAGGCAACCATAAGCGGGATGGAGTACACCAGTGAACACATCGTTCACAAACATATACAGGTTGCGAGCCTGCTAGCGTTCCACTGGACTGTCTAGAAGAGTCTGTGGTCGTCATCTATACTCCGCTAGATGACTGGATCACCA